AATTTCATCATTTAGAATTTTAAATCCAGGGTCTGACGAATAACATACTATCCATTCTGCTGTACCCTCAGCATTAACTTCTGAACATCGATGAATTTGCAAAAGATTGTTTCTTAATTCCTCAAGTGACACGTCAAACTCATCTTCTCTTCTGTCTTCCATTTCCTTTTGAACTTCTTTTTCTTTTTTCTCCTTTTCCTTTTCAGTTTATTCTGAGAGCGATTTGGATAATTGGAGTTCTACTGAATATTTTTTCCAGTTTGAAAATTCTTTACCTCATTCTTGTATATTTTCTTTATCAACGTAATATATTTCATTAGGACATGCTTCTTTTGCTATGGGTTTGATTACTAAATGTCTGTGCAAATTAAACTGATATATGAATGTGTAGAAATAAAACCAGTTTTAGTCATTATCATTTTACAGACATATATGTGAACGTTAGATTAGAAAAATTACAAAAAAGAACAAATATAAATTTCATTCGATGTAGATTTTGCATACATTGTTGCATGGAAATATAATGTATGGTATTAACAACACCTTGTAAATGTAATAAAATATATTTCTTTAAATTATCTGTTCAGGACTTTAAAAATCGCTGTAAAGGTTGTAAGAATTATGTTAATTTTATTAACAGTTAAATTTTAAGTTAAAGTTCCTTTTCTGTCAAATTCTTAACTTCAACTTACTACTTCTGGGCCAGAACGTAGTTTTAGAATCATTCTGAATACTTAATGAGGAGGAGAAGTCTAAACATGCAGAGTTACTTACTGAGTCAGAGAGAATCGGCCTTTCTGATTTACGCGCGTTTGACCTTTGGGTTACTCTCTCTCTCCCCTCTCTCTCTCCCCCCCTCTCTCTCTCTCCCTCTCTTTCTCCCTCTCTCTCCTTCTCTCTCTCTCTCTCTCTCAACGCTGTTATTACGCTTGGCAGTACTCAGGCCCTTGATAAGCTTCGTGGGCAAAGAGAGTTAAGGGGCCAACTCGATCAGAATCTTGAAAGCTTCGGCTATATTTCTTTAGTTAATCTTAGTTTTAGTAATTCTTAGTCTTTTAAGTTCAAGTCCAAGTATGGGCTTTGCTTGTACATTCCCAGGCGAAGTTTTGTTAAATCTTATTGAAATAATAAAGGGTTAGTTACCCTTCATCTTGTTGTTTCTTGTCACCGAACTCAAGCGATTATTCGCTTATCAGTTCTTAGATTCTTCACTTCCAACATTAACTTAGAATCCAAATCGTAAAACCAACCTTGTATTTAGCGTAAGTATAATGAAACACTCAATCGATTTCGACGGCAGCTCAAGGTCCCTCCTCATCAGGAGAAAGAAATACCTAGAAAGAAGAACTTAGAATTCCAAAGTGAGGAACTCTACAAGGTAATATTTAAGTATAAATTTATTTGGCCTTAGAATATTATTGCGCTATTTATCATTAATGACACTATCTTGAGGGTAATATTTTGCATTTTTACATACTTGTACGAAGTAAAAAGGAAGTACTGTAATCGCGAAAAATTTCAGGTATCATATTTCAACGAAAATAACCATTTCGACCGCTATCGAATGCAATTTAACGATGTTTTTGCGTGCTATCTGTACGTAAGGACAGAATAAAGGATTAAAGAAACTATAAAGCTGATTTAAAATGAATTCTGAAGATAATGCTTCGTGGCGTCTGTACGTACGAACGTATATATGTATGTATGTATCTCGCATAACTCAAAAACGAGTAGCCTCAGAACGTTGAAAATTTGTATTCGGGACTGTTATAACATGTAGATGTGCACCTCCTATTTTGGTTGCAAGTATATAAATATATGTATATATATATATATTTCCAGTCTGTTACTCGGCTCAGTGATCTCAGTTTCTTTATTCTTATATGTTTGTAAATTGTGCATTTTTTGCTTTAAAATGATTTAATTATGTTGTTCTTATCTTTCTGTTAAGGTTTTTATACCTTTAGTAAATAAGTATGCAATATTTTTAGAATTATCAACAATTTAAAAGTTGTTTAAGTGCGGCTAAGCCTAGTTATTTTTACTATAGCAGCCACATTTACCGTATTTGACGGCATATAAGACGCCCTTTTTTTTCCTGAATTTGGTCTCAAAAAAATTAACTGCGTCTTATACGTGAAGGACACAGATTAACTTTCAATATTGAATGGTATTTTTAGCTCGGATAAAGGTCTAGACACACATAATCTTTTCTACATCTGACATAATTATTTTGCGCATGCGTGAAATATCTGTCGCCAAAAAGCGCCAAAGCTCGAAGCTGATGTCGAAGTTCGAACAGGTTCGACGGTTACATTAAGTGTATAGGGCCTTTCATTCTCTACATAGACTTTCTTTAACTCAGCCGACACACGTGTCGGTATCGGTGCTACGCTGTATAAACGTGTCGGTATCGGTGCTTAAAACTATTTGTTTAAAAAGGATACCCTGGAAAATATGACTACAGGAAACAAGAGATTAAGCTATACAATTCAGTATAAACTAGAAGTGTTAAATTACGCCAAAGTGCATGGAAACAGAGCAGCAGCAAGGCATTTCGGTCCACCACCTAACGAAAAGATTATACGTACTTGGCGACTGCAGGAAGATCAACGAAGACTGCTAAAAAACAAAACATAACCTTCGATGCTCAGCTCATTTGGCCGAACTGAAATGCCGTAAAATGTGGGTGACAGTAGAGGAAATCTCGGATAGTGTTTCAACTAAATGATAATGAATGGGACCAACGGATTTGCGGAAACGTGGAATCAGAACTTTTCAGGGTCTGAGGGCTGGGCTTCAGGTTCTTGAAAAGGTAGGCTTATCAATGTGCACAAAAACAACTATTGCACAGAAATGCACGCAAAACTTCTTTTGAGCTCGTAAATAGAACTGGTGAATTTTCACTCACATTTAATGTACCATCCAACAAGGACTGAGTATTACGGGTCTAAATCAATACCATAAACCACAGGTCATGAAAAACCCGATATACAGTTTCTAACTTTGCTGATGGCATAAAACTACCGCGTTTTTCATAATCAAAAGAAAAACTCATCCGAAAGTAAAAGTTCCAACGGGTGTAATTGTTCATGTTCATCCGAAAGGTTGGATGGACGAAGCTGGAATGAAACTATCGTTAAAGAACGTATGGGCGAGGCGACCTGATGGACTCTTAAGAAAACCCTCTCTTTTGGTTTTGGATCAGTTTAGCGCCCATAGAACTGGAACCATAAAGAATAAAGCGAGAGAATTAAAAACCCAGACAGCTGTCATTCCTGATGGACTGACTAGCCAATTGCAGCCTTTAGATGTATCGTGAATAGCCAATAAAGGAAAAGTGCGAAACGATGGAACAAGTGGATAGCCCATCACCCCTATGAGCGGCCCTCGTCTCACCGTGTGCGAGTTCGTAAAAAATCTTGGGAGGACGTAAAGGTTGAAGTAAGTTTAAGTCCTTTCAGAATACGGAATCAGTAATGCCGTTGACGGAACAGAAGACGACGCATTATTCGAAGAAGGTGATACTAGTGAGAAGGAAACATATGATGACGATATTTCGTTTCGATGATGATGATAGTGAAAGATTTTTTGGTTTCGAAGTGATTAAGTCTAATTTCATGATAGGCAACGTTTTCCTTGAATCTGTTTTTTTTGTTTCTTCTGCTTTATTTTGTATTTGTTTGATTGCTTGCCGTTCATTCATTTATTCATTAATAAATTACTATCATGTCAAAATAGCTTGCCGTTTGTTAATTTTCCTTAATAAAAATGTTGGTAAATGCATTCAATGATTGTTTATTTGCTTTTAAACGTGAGAACTAAAAGAAACCACTTTTAGTTATTGTTATGGACTATTAACGCGCTATCGCTCGGACTCTTGAGACTTTTTTTCCTTGTGTGTCGCCTTCTAAATAAGGGTGCCTCTTATATGCCGTCAAATACGGTATTTGCATTTGAAACTTACCAGAATAATAGGTTTGTTGCCAATTTAGGGAAAGTAAACTTCGCAAAAGCAAATAAAACGCCTTCTTTAATTATTGCGAATTAAATCTTGCTTGATCCATTCTGGAATTTATTCGAGGAAATAAGTATTTAAGATTTACTTCGTAATTTTTAATATAAATATTTTGAGTTTTTATATATTTTTGCCTTGTCGCGAAGTGAGAACTTAATTAAACGAGAAACAATAAATCGTCTGTGAAAAACTGTTTCTTTTTTTGTTTGTTTGTTTGTTTAATTTCTTTTATACATCGTTTCAGATTTATTATAGTATTTGAAAAGAACATGTGTCAACGATTAGATAATTCTTCAGATGATATAAATTTTGTGCATTCTGAGTTATAAAATGAGTTACTGTTTTCATGCAGAACTAAGCAGCACACCTCAGAGCCAGCACTTGAGTGGGTGACCACACATGTCACCACGGACTCCAATACATTTGAAACTGTAACTTTGTTACTCAACTATTTTCTGTGCATTCAATTATTGCGGATGGACTGTCCATTGTATTGATTTATTGATATTAGTATTATGTTTTACCACTTTTTATTCATTGTACATATCTGTGCGTATTTTAACTTAGTTTGATTTAATGATAAGATTATGCTTAATACTACTGAACCGAGTTGCGTACGTGACTACTGAACTCTAGCTGACAAGCTTAATTACTTGTGCATTACTTATACTGAAGTCATTTTGTGGCAAACTTTGACTATTTTATTCCTAACCACTTCTTACTACTCATGAAATTTATTGTTATGCATGTATGTAAACTGTGTTGGAATATTCTACGATCCCATGCAACATTAACTTTGGACTTAAGTGAGATTGTTCACATGACCAGAGACTCTGATATCTTTCCTATTTTTCCTGCAAATGTCACCATTTTCAGTGAGTGCATTAATTGTCATTTACATTAAAGACAACCTTGTGAAGGCTTCTGTATATAACTTTTATAATTTCATATTGCATTTCTATGTTAAATATTGTAATTTTAGTACTTTTTACCTGGAATCTCTAAGTACCAAAACGATGTTGGACACGTGACAATTGTCACGCCCCTTCACTCCACATATACTGTCCTCCCGGATCCAGCTTCAGCATTCATTCTACCTCAAGCACCTTCAATGGCAACTGACACGGATACAACAGCCAGTGATGACTACGACAGCCGGATAAAAAACATGCAAATTGCATTTTATTCACAGCTTACCTGGAACCTGGTTATAAAATTAATGAGGTGGAACACTGTTAAGTGAACCTAGAGCCAGAGTGCCGCTAAAAAACAAATATAGTGAATTTTAAAGAGTGCATTTATTCTATTGTGGTTTATGAGCTACCGACGAAGTAGATTTAATTCAATGCAATAAGTTTAAATGAAATGCAAGAAAAAATGCGTATAATTTAATATTCTGTACAAGAAAGGCATGTGATATACACATCAGATTTTTTTATAAAGAAATAAAAGTTTCATTTATCAAGCGTTTATTGATAAAGTGTTTCCTTTTTGAATAACGTATACTTTCATTTGAAAGCCTTGGTCACTGATAAGAAATGTGCAATGCATAGTAATGATACATTTAACATATAAAAGAAATATACATAAAATTCTATGGAAATGCCTTCCATTCAAAGTTCGCCATTTGATTCAAATTCGTATATTAAAAAAGACTGAATGTTGAAAAAAAGTTTTTTCGTTTGAAGTCGCTAAATTATTCATATTATGATAAAAAATGAGGTACATAAAGCGCGGTGAAAAAAGAAAAAAAAAACCTCTGCTAAAATAAAGCCATTTGTATCATACAAAAAATAAATCGAATTGAATGCAGAACAATAAAAAATCTTTTTTAAAAGGTCTAAAACGCTGATGAACGAAGAAAATTTTTAAAACGTTTTTCGCAAACTGCAAAGCTAGAATTTGAAGAGGAAAGGTTCCGATTTTTCTAGAAGTATAAGGAGCAACTAACTCTCGAGGGATTGTAGATATGTGTATCTCGATTTTTCTTATTTAAGAATTCAATTTCGAAATATATATACATCTACTTCTTTTTTTCACCTTCTCATTCTATATGAAAAATAAGAAAAGATTAGCTTCGAACTGTATTCGGTTCATGTGACGAAAAAAAAAATTGTTAAAAGAAACGTTTTAAAAATGCTGATTTTTTAGGGTGAGAAATAATTTGAACAGAAAAATGTTTCAAGGATGTTTCGATTGTAGAGGATTCGGTATAAATATCAAGGGAGAATGAGAACTGTTATTTATATCTGCAGAAAACTATTGTATATAAAAAGTACTCCATTTGAAATATGGAATTAAATAAAATTTAAATTTAACGAGGAGTTACTTTCAGAGAAAAATATGCCACTCGTGAAAGAGTAGAGTTTTTCCCTTTTTAGAAAGAAATATATTCTTCACCATTTTCCCCGAATATATCATTTAAATAATAGGAAAAAGATAAGCAAATAAAGAACAATTAAAGTAGACGTTTTAGCGCCCTCTGTCGAGAATAACTGAAAAGAACTGGTTGCAAATATTTATCTATTTAAGTACTTTGGAAAAAAAAATAGATTTCAGTGTAAATCATTATCTAAGTAGCTATTAATCCACAAGGATGTCTTCAAGGAAATCTAATTCTCCAGTTGAATGTTAGAAAAACAGTTGAACCACTGAAAATGATTAGCATATCGGATTTATGTATTACCTTCTCTTTTAGTATTCAACTCAAGTTCTTTAAAGCAAAGATTTACAGTTTTAGCAGGTGTCTACTGAACTTAGCTGATAAATAGTATTTTATATTCTCCACAATTAAAATCTGAAAAAAAAACTTGCAATTAAAGTCTGAAAAAAAATCTATCTGGAGACCAAAGAACGAAGCTTATTAATAAAAATAAAAATTACTTGTAAGTATAACTTTCTGCATATAATATTACATGCTTCGTTATCAATAGGAAAAAATAAAGGATGACTAAAAAAATGCTTAGATTATTTTTAAAAAAAGAATATTTTATAAAGGAATACAAGAAAATTATTTTAGCTTTGTCTCTGGAAAAACGGAGTAAGGTTCGCTTTGATACTAACAGGCTTAGAACAGCTGATTTTTAGAACAAGATGTATAGTTTAGCACAAACCTCGAAAAGCGAGTAACGAATTTTAGAATAAAACTGGTATCATTAAATGATGAAGTCTGTCTAGTTTAAAGAAGAATGTTAAATTTAAATGATACACTATGTTTCCCTAATATCTTAGTAAGAATTAAAGAAATTACTTCGATTCACGAATTATTTATTTTAATTCTGAATGAACATATAGATATCTACAAATAGAGTATGACTTTTATTTTCCAGTGGTCGTAAGAAAAAGCATCTTATTTAGAGCTTCAGAAATAATGCTAAATGCTTTATAATTTTTCTATTGCATGTAATAACTACGAAAGAAAATATAAATATGAAAGTTTAATAAGAACTAATATTAATACATTTACGAACCCAGAATCTATTTAAATGCTTCTTGAATTTTCCTTGATATTATTTTAAAAGCTGCCTCGAAATTAAAATTAATTATTTTACAGCTGTATCTGAAGTTACAGCATTGAAACATGTTATTTACTTTCTAATTGCTGTTTGTATGTTCAAAATATGTCAAAAATGTGCTTCGTGTTTTTTTTTTAACTTCCAATTACACATTTTGATAGAAAGTAGAAAACACGGAGACGGAACATTTCCATTTTTGCTTTCAAAATCATTTAATTGTAACATAAGTTTAATTAATTAAATCTGTAGAAATGCTGATGGTATGTTTATTACAAAACGGATATCTTACAACGTGTTTTGCTATTTAAAATTTTAAATGCCGTCTAATTTAAATATTTGCGTTATGAATATTTCATTTTATTAATTAAATTTTTTTTTCAGGTATAACATTTAAATGATGCAATTTATTAATAATAATTATGATTGAAGTTGCTGTCAAGTTATAAGCTAAGGCTAAAAAACGGATGAATACATTCCTTTATATATTTACTTTTAATTGTAGCCTATTGCGAATCTAAAGAGGAAATAATTTTAAATTGCACTTCATTCAGCATTTGAATTTAATTTGAAATGAATTAATTAATTCACTTGCTTTGGAAGTAATCTATTAATTCTTTCAAAAGTGACTTGCTTTCGAACAAATGTAATTTCTAAAGTAATTCTGCTGACTGTTAAACGTTACCAAATTCATTTAGGTTCTTTTTCAGAAACAAAAACATTACGAATGTCAAAAGTACTGAGAAAACATAAAAACAAATTTCCAACTTCTTACTTAAATAAAAAATAACAAAAAAAAAAAAAAAAAAAAGCAAAGTAAAAAGAAATTGCAGAAATATAAAATTAATTTAACTCATAATTTCTTCTTTCTTATTTGGTAAAATTTTGTAAATTAGTCGCAAGGGAAAACTTTTTAAATGATGCAATTTAAAACTGGTTTGAAAAATGGAATCTTCCATTGCTGTAACATATAATTATTAAGTTAATCAACTGCATGTAATTTATCTTTTTTGTGATGTTACTTATATAAGAAAAATATCGACAATAATAATTTTTGAAGTAGTCTCGTAAATAGCATATAGAGCCTCAAAGCAAGAATCACAGGCTAAATTTAGTCCAGAACTTCAAGTTATATTCTTACTTTGCGTTTGCTATGATTACCAAGTATTAGATTTAATATAATATTTGAAAGATTATAAATAAAGTCAACAGGTTTACGCTTGAGTTATAGCAAATGACTTTTTTAATATAGTATCAAATATGTATTTACATAAAAATGTTAAAAATATATTTTTTAACTATTTCACGTAAACAAGAGAATAAATAAGAAGATATTTTATTCATACAATTTTCAGTCTTACAACAGAGAGTTGCCAAAAATATATCACTATCTGTAATTTCATGCAATGTGGATGCCAGGAATGTATTCTTTCAGCTGCAAGAAAAAGATTATTTTGAAAGGAAATACAGACAACACGTGTTTTATGACTTATTTCCATATACTTCAACAAAAGTGAATTTTACAAGAATTTTCTGAGAACGGGATATTAACAAGTTACGTTGAAAATAGGTTAAAAAGAAAGAAGAAACGATTTAGACTTATTTCCTTATACAGCGAACTCAGAGTTACTTTACAGTGATGAATTTGAGGTATTATTTCTGAGAAAAAATGGGCATTTCTGTTACCTAAAGCTCATGAAATAATTCAGTAAATCCAGAATTCTAAAATTCCGTTTCTATTTTCCTGAAGCCTGAAAAAGTACGACTTAAGTTACAATTCTCTAAGAATGGTTGGTGTGTGTATTTAGTTATGGCAAAGCACACTAGGGCTATCTGCCTAAGGAAAAGGAATGCCTTCGTGGAGGACTTTCTAAGCGAAACTGGCTCGTATACACGTTACACATGGGGAAAACCACGAAACCGCCCATGCAGCCAGCCCGTTCGCGGGATTCGAACCTCGGACCGAGCTGCCAGTGTTCAGCGACTTTACCGCTCGGCAGCTGGTAGGCCCTCTAAGAATCTAAAAATGGTACACTTACCTTTTAGTTGTAAAAATATTCTGTATAAATTATTTCTGAGAATTTAATACTCTTTCTGCTACTGAGAGTTTTGTACGTTAAAATCTACATGCTTTTTTCAGAATATGAAAAAAAGAAACACACTTATTCCAGAAATATTTTTCTTTTCTAAATATTGATTCATACTGATAGAAAATTATTTTTGTCCTCAATCGAGTTTATTTTTATGTTATTTTTGTTATTAAGAAGGTATTTTACACATTTGTTTTCAATGGTGTTGTAGATTTAATGATTTTCCTGTTGTTAACGATACAGTATTATGTTTCCGACTAAATGTTTGATGGAAGAAAACTGATTAACTGTTATAAATATTACAAAAATGAATTTAATTTTTAATTGACCTAATTTGTAGCAGCTATAGTTTCTTTACTTAAAACATTAAGTATTAAGTTAAATGCCGCATTGTTAAAATATTTATGTTTTATTTGTATATAATTTGAATACCGTTCATTTCCTTAGGTATGAGTACCCAAAATAGTTCATGAAACCATTGAAGCTTCATTGGAGACCTTGTATTTATTTTAAAATTTAATTTAAGAGATACACAAAAGTATTTTATTAAATCCGTCTTAAGTATTTAATAAAATATATATCCACGTACTGAAAATGATAGACTCTTTGAAGTATTACTTCAATACAATAAGCACAATTTG